TTGGGGGGGGGGGGTCAAAATACTTTTTGGAAGAACAAAAATCATTTTTCGTATATATATCATTTTCATTTACCCCAGTGCCGCAAAGGCTCCCACCTACGGTGGGGTGAGGGGGGGTCGGATGTACGCAGTCTTACCCCTGTACTAAAGCACAGAGAGACTGTTTCCGGATGACCCATAGTGAAAATCCCATCCAAAATTGCATGGACTGACTGGTGCTTCATGACAAAGAAGCGCAAACAGATTAATGAGCCATTTTGCTTTATTCCATCATAATCTCAAGCCAAAAAATAATGAATCTTTGGCTCCATTGCAAATGATGGAAAGTTTTCGTATATATATACACTAAAAAAAATTGTTGGGGGGCGGTAGCCCCCCTGGGTCTCTACTACGGTCCGCCCCTGGGCGAATGTAACCAATTTGGGAATTATCAATGAAATGGAAAGTCTGGGGAATCACCAAAACAAAGGTAATATTTTGCATTCATACTTTAAATTATTAATGTTTCTTTTTTTTTTTTGTATTTATACGTAAAACCTAATGATAATTGTAAATACATAAGCGGAGGATGGGTTTGACAAGAAATGCAACACCTAATGATAATCTGATGGTCCAATGCCCTTATAAATGCCCGCCACAAGAGAATGAAAACAATGATCAAACAATAGTAGTACTGAAATGCAGTAGGAAGAAATATTGGGAGATGGAAAACAATCTCTTGATTTTTGTTAAAACCTAACCTCATTAGACAATGTTGTTGAGGACTATTTTAAATTTTATATGCTTTGCTTTTAAAACTATATAAATCTGATTGCTTAAAATTGTGAATTTGGTGTTTGAAATATGGAACTTGAAGCGCCTATGTCTTTTAAGCCTGGATTGGTATTTAAAATTCTGGACTTTTTTGTGTGTGTTTTTTCAGGATTATGGTCTTTAATATTTGGTATGATGCAAATCAAGAATGTAAACAAACACAACTAAAGATATCACTTATTAGGAGGAAGAAAAATAAAGACTTTATAAATAACATTATCACATAGGCCAGAGAGCTCATCCCAGAAGTAGAGCTCAACATTCTTTTAATGTTAAACAAAGAAAGATTTACATTTTGTAAAGTTTTTATTGCTATAATTGTAATCTTAAAATCTTTATCGGTAATGTGCATTGAATTACTTATTTGTAATATTTGTATTCACTTATCTACCAAATCTAATCAATAAATAATATATGGAAAAATATGGAGTCAAATAATTGTTTGTATTCTCTGATCTAGTAGATTATACGCAGTACAAATTTTGGTCAAACATTTGTGGGCTAAAGTATTACTTTGTTGAGGATTTTCATGTTTGGGAATAATAAGTAATACTATCGTACTTCATATAAATTTATCACCTTAAGCTCATATATATAAGCAATAATAAACTCATCAAAACATTTTGGTCAAAATAGACATGTTGATGTTTATATACTTGCATACTTTGAAAATACCACGTATGTTTAAATGAGATTAAATAAAACACAGGATGTTTTTACTTGGACTGTAATTCGTCTCAGACTAGACCAGACCAGACAAGACTTGGATAGTTATAAAAATACAAAGAAACCAGACCAGACCAGACCAGACCAGACCAGACTTGGATAGTTATAAAAATACAAAGAAACCAGACCAGACCAGACCAGTCCAGTTCAGACCAGACCAGACCAGACCAGTAAAAACATTCATAGTACTAACGAAGTGGTATGTCACCCTTATGGGAATATTAATTTACCAACCACAATAGCCACAAACATAGTGAATGTCCATTAATCTTTATACATGACTCAAATAGTTAAAAGATTGTGTAATAGAGTGATAGATCCGAATGGATATTATACATCCATGAATAGATTTACAAATTGAATGAATAGATTTACAAATTGTGAAAATCCTTTTGAAAATTGGTATATGGTTGTGTGTACTATGCCTAGATTTTAACAGTCGAATAATCTAATAATAGTAGAAAGAATTAAAACTTTAGAAGAGAAATTTCACCAATAACGTATACCGTGTATATAGAATGATGAATCCATGATGAACAAATACGCAATAGTACTCGAACAAGCTAGAGAGAGAATTTCTAATCTACGTGCTCTACCAGAATAATGAGCCCGTTTGGTAGCACGAAAATCGGCTGTTTTGGCTGATTTTGCTGAAACTTATGAAGTTCTGGCTGAAGTGGCTGCATTGGCTGATTCTGCTGATACGAGAAAAAAATATTTTTAAAATATATTTTATTAATAAAATAAAGAAAAAAATATATGTAAAAATAGCTAAAATGATCATCTACAGTAACTTCAGTCAATAAAGCCAGAAAAGTAACTCCAACCTTACTTTTTCGGCTTATTACACAATTCAGCGCGCGAAAGCAAAATTTACGTGTTTAGTAAAAAAGTTGGCCGATAAGCCTGATAAGCCGAAAATGAGGGTTGCCAAACGACCTCAATATGCGGAATAGAATGTGTAGAGACTTAGAGAGCAGATTCGGCCATCTCAGCCTATATTTATAGGTGAGAGACTCGAACTGCCTAATACAACTGGAAACAACAGCTTAGGTGTGTGGGCTTATTAGAGCACTTATAATTGAGCCTAATTATCTCTCAGCTAATCTAATTAAATACAAAGACTCATTAATTAAAATACAATTAATTTGAATACAATAAAATAATATTCTAACAATGGTAATCACTCAAACCAATTTAAACAAATTTGTAAATCATATCATAAATATGAAAACATGTAACAAAACCACAAGAGACTACACAAATTTGTAAATCATATCATAAATCGTACAAAAAATGTTATCAATCCACACGCACGACTCAACAGATACAAATTCATTGATTAAATTGAGGATGGAGATGCATTCATTAATTATTTTTTCTTTATTTTATTACTAGAATATATGGAGCATTTTAATACGTAGTACTACCTCCCTTCCGTTGAAAGGTTTCATTTAAGATTGTAAATCATTTCCTAAAATAGAAATGAGAACCTTTATATGGGACGTTCAAAAAAGGAAAGTGAGAACCTTTCTACGGGACAGATGGAGTATATTTTTTCATTATTCACCAGATTCATCCAATTTAGTCGCTTCTGCTAGAACTTGATCAATTTCAGCAATATCAGCCAATTCAACCAATTTCAATATTATCAAGCGGGGGCTCTATGAGTATTTTTTTGGTGATATATAATGAGCATTCTTATACTCATTATAATTTTATTGTGGTTAGAAAATCTTCATTACTATATTTATTAGTGGCATAATTAAAAGCAACTTTTTCACATAATATTTTCACACATATATTCAAAGTTTTTTTGAGCTCAAGTTGATTGGAATTTAGTATATTCCCCTAACTAACAACAATTTCTCGAACTAATCATAAAATGAAATTAGTACTACGTATTTGACATTATTCGATGAGATCCAAAGGGTATGTTTGACACAACTAGCCGAAAAGATACTTTTGTGAACTTTTTAATAATTGTTAGCTTTTAATAACTGAAAAGATCTTAAAGAGAAAAGGTGGTAGATGTTTGGTAAAAAGCTGAATGTTTGATTTAGTTCGGTTCGATATACAAGTTGTTAGGACTAATTAATACTAAAAGTCACGGGCTTTTTTCAGATACATCTCAAAAAAAATCTTTTAATTTTTGAAAAGCTCTTAAAAATTGTCATGCCAAACATATAACTAGAAACTTTTAGAGTCTTTTTGAAAAGTACAAAAGTTAAAAGGTAAAGACTTATGACTGTCAAACATAGGGTATGTTTGGCACAACTAGCTGAAAAGATACTTTTATAAGCTTTTTAGTAACTGTTAGCTTTTAGTGATTGAAAAGATCTTAAAAGAAAAAGGTGATAGCTGTTTGGTAAAAAGCTGACTGTTAGATTCAGGCTATGTTTGGCAAGCCACTGCAGCTCAAAAAGATCTGAAATCTTTTAAGTTCACCTAATTATTTTAAAAGTAATGTTGTTTGGCAAAACAGCTTATTTGGACTGGATCTGAAATTGTGGGTCTGAATGAGAACGCTTTCCACCCTAATGTTTTTGTTCAGCTTACTTTAAAATTTACTTCCGTTCCCATACTATCCCCGACCCTTGTCATTCTTCTTTTCTCCTGGATTGCATCTCTCTTTCCCAGCTTTCATCTTCGCTAGCTTTTCAGAGAGCAGCGAAAATCATTTCTGATCCACAAGTTGAGATAGCGGCTTATGATCTTTAAAGTACAAGATGATGACGATAGATCTAGTTCAAGCAACGGTGCAGACCGGAACGACGAGCTTCTCGCTCTCTTTGCTGCTGCAAGACACTCTGAATTTTTGATGATGAGAGCAGATTTCTAGTAATGGGACGTGGGTGGACTAGCTTCAAACAGTCAACTTATGCGCTTATCGATTCCCCCATCTTCTCAAGAATTCCATTTTTTTTTTGCTTTTATAATCTACAGCTGGGTGCGGAGCATAATTTCTTGGAGTTGCAAAAGAACATTCATTCGCCGGAAAATACTCCTGAGCAATCGCGAGACCCTAGCTAGTTTTATTGGGCTCTTGAATGAGTTTTCAAATTTTTTAATTAGTATTCAGAGTAAAGTCTTAGTATTTAATACAATATAAAATCTTAGTAATAAATTGCTTTATTAATATATCGTATGCCCTTTAATGTAATTTGATATTGTCCCGATACTTTTTCAGCTCTTGTTGCCAAACGCGATTATTCCATTCAGTTAATAATGCAGATTCAGCACTTCAAGTTCAGTTCCAGACAATAGTCTCTAATTCAAACATTAGCCTCCGATTTCAGCTCGTTGTGACAAACATAGTCTTAGTTCTGTTTGGTATACAAGCTGTTAAGACTAATTAATACTAAAAGTCACAGACTTTTCTCGGATGCAACTCCTTGTAGCATCTCAAAAAAGATCTTTTATTTTTTGAAAAGTTTTTAAAATTTGTCATGTCAAACATATAACTAGAAGTTTTTAGAGACTTTTTAAATAGTAAAAAAGTTAGAAGGCGGAAACTTATGCCCGCCAAACATGCACATAGCCAAAATACTTAAATACACTTTTTTAGTAAGACCGCAAATTTTAAATCTAAGCAAATTATGACATTAAATGTTAACTTGATAATTTCTTTAAAATTTGTAATTTCTCAAGCTTTGGATGCTCTCATGCCTTAAAACCCAAATTTCTGGCCCAATTACACCTCTTTGGGCCGGAGTTCTCCAGCCCAAACTCCACCCTCTGAGTATCACTAATCTTGAGCCCGGAGACATCTTGCCTATTTCTGTTCCTGAAAAATCATATCACAAGTTTTCAAAACATTAGACTATTACAGGAGAAAATGATGAACTATGTGATCAGTGTTTAAAAGAATAGTTTTCCTTTTTTCCTCCTATATTTTATCTGACATGTATATCACTAACAAAGTTTCATCGGACAAAAACATGATCAATTATGTTTTTTGGATAAAAATATGATTATTCACTTGTACGAGTAACTGAACAAGAATCACTATAATATATTTTAGAATGACAAGTCACTGATTTATCGTGAGTCCCTGAGAACTTGTCACTAAATATTTCATTTTTTGAAAATATTAAAATGAATCATAGTTTTTGTTATTTGAATTTAACTTATTACTCCCTTCAGTCCTTAATTAACTTTACATTTTCCTTTTTTGGTCGTCCCATATTAAAATTTACACTTTCTTATTTGCCTTATTTGGCAAACAGATCTACACCGAACAGTGCAAAACAGTGTCAAATAGTGTACTCTACAGTAAAGTCAAATTTACTTCCTTATATTTTCTTATTATATGTGAAGTAAAAGTGTAAAGTTTATGGAATAACCTGTTATGCTGTGGTTCCCATTTTCCTCTCAGTTTCTCATCCAATCTCTGCTTTGCTTCTCTGGCAACCTCACCCATCATCTTCCCATCCTCGTATCCCGTTCTCGTTTTACTTCCCTTCTAATCATTCACCAATAATTTCATTTGTCGCGAACCACAAAAGAAAATAAAAATATTTATGATTTATGAATTTATCCGAGTCCCATTTCACAACTTATACAATGAGTAAAACGTAGTAATAATAATCCTTCATTGGAGAGCTTCGAACTAATGCCACGGATTCAATGTAAATATGAATTACACACAGATTGTAACAAATACAATATTCATCAATAAGATGAGAATTGTTTTATTCTCAAAATACAACTTATTCAGTCAGTATTTTATCAATCTAGGATTCAAAATATAGACGAGTTACAAATTCGAGACATTGAAAGATGAAATGTATCAACATTAGGATCTAAATGATTCAAAACTATAAATTTAGGATCTAAGTTGTAATGAATTAGGACCTGAATATTGACAGTTTTCTATCATTGTGGTCCTATATCGATACCATGGCCCAGACTCAGCCCAAATTTTAAAATTGTCTATATTTTTTAGGTAAAAAATTCCGTGTAATCTTTTTACAAAAATATTCTTTGTACCGTCCTAGTCCGGTCCAATGTTCTGGCTCCGCCCCTGACCGATATATTTCATCTTTCAAATCCCGAATTGATAACTTATCTATCTTTCAGATTCTGAAATAATAAAATTCTTATTCTTTTATATTTTGCTAAGTCTTAAATAACACTACAAGCCTACAACAAAGTATAACTTTTGTAGCATGAGCATACAAAAGGCCAAGTCAACGATAAATTTGACTTTACTGTTTTATTTAAATCCCGAATATCGTTGACTTGGCCTAGACGTGTTTGAACAACTTAGGTAAGCCTGTTTCTATTCCCTCCGTTCCGTATTAAAGTTCTCACTTTCCTTTTTGGGATGTCCCTTATTTAAGTTCGCACTTCCATTGTAGGAAACAAAACAGTGCCAAACAGTGTCCAAACAGTGTTCAAACAGTGCACTCCACAGTAAAGTCAAATTTATTTTCTTAAACTGTGTGAAGTCAAACTGGGAACTTTAATAGGGATCGGAGGGAGTATTTGATAAAGTTCTATTTATTTCTTTTGAAGGAATAAAGGTATATATGGAGTAGACCATGAACAAAGCCTTTGGATCACCGCCGCTTTTCAACACAATACCATGAACAAAGCCTTCCCGCCATTTATTTATATTTAGATTAGAAATAAAGGATTGTTTCTTTCTTAATGGAACGAGCAAAATGTTGATTAAGTTGTGTTGATGCACTATTCTTCCAAGTTCTTACTATCTTTTTAATTTGGACTATAATTTTCTATTCTTAATTAGTTGGGTCCGATGTATATATGTTCTATGTGTTTTTTATAATCATGAAAGTCATATCTGATTTGTTTAAACCTGATACAATAGGTACAATTGAAAACATCCTTAAACTCCGTTTTATACTGTATAAAATAACGACCAATAAATAATTAAAATAAAGGTATTCCATAAAAATATAATTTATATACTCTAATTTTAACAATAATTTTAATGACTATAATTAGGTCCAATTGTAAGGAGAAAACTCATTTTACACATGAAACTTTTATCAGATTTGAGTCTTATTTTTCAAATCAAAATAACTTTTAACATCATCTCTTGTTTCTGAATACGTAAATTTTAGTCATTGATACTAAGTTACTGAATATTGGCGTTAATTCGAGAACTTTATAGCCCGTCAAATATCATGAAATGAGAACTTGTTTATGAATAGAAGGGACTAAGGAGGATATGATTAGGTACCATGGAAGGAATTGATGAAGAGGTGTTGCTAGTGTACAAGCAAAAGAATGACTTTCTTGAGTCAGTCATCTTGGTTGGATGAAGCCTCCTCCTCCTTGCACATTCAACTCCAGGAAGCATGCCAGACATTTTCTCTTCTCCAAAAAAAGTTAATCAGAAAACTTCAAATAAAGGCCTGTTTGGGGAATCAAGTTTGAAGACAGAAAGAAAACTATGTACTGTTTTTTGGAGATTGAGGACAAGCAAAGGTTGCGTATTGGTGGTGTTTATTGTGGGGAATAAGGTTGTGTTTGGGTGTGTGAATACAAGGTTGTTCGATCGATAAGGGAGGCGTGATGATATATGTACGGAGTAGTTGGACAGTCATTCGAACGAAGCTTCTCTGAAGGTGGGTGGGGGTGGGAGTGGGGTGGGTATAATCTACTTGCGACAATTTTGAATTCTCTAGACCAAATTTTTCTGGCCACAATTTTTGAATGTAGTCATTTATTTAGTAAAACAAGCACAATATTTTGTGAACATAATATGGCACATACTCGGTATCTTTTTATTTTAAGGAATAAGAGGAGATTATTGATCAGAGAGACAGAGAATACATTCTTGATATATGCGGGATATAATATCGAGCATGTTTGGTAACACCAAAATTGGTTGAATCGACTTATTGAGCTGAAATTTGTGAAGTTCTGATTGTTTAGTTGAAATCGCTGAATTGATTGATTTTGTTGATTTATGAAAAAATTATACTTAAAATACTTTTAATTTTATTAATAATATAAAGAAAAAACAATGCAAAAACTAGCTAAAATGATTATTACACAATTCATCGCGCGAGATAAAAAAGTAAGTGTGTTGAAAAAGTTGGATGATAAGCCTTATAGAAATTGCTCTAAATAGGAGCAAAAACGTTTTGAAATTCCAAAATATGAGTATCATGTTTTTTATTCCCTAAATAGGAGTAATCTGTCAACTTTGGAAAAAATGTCATGTTTTAAAGCCCAGTAATGCCAAACTTGGCGGAAATTTACTCCTATTCAAAGAATAAAAAACATGATACTCTTATTTGGAATTTCAAAACTTTTTTACTCATATTTAAGAAATTCTCTCTAAGCCTTATAACAGAATTACGCTCATTGTCTACACCATTTGCACAAAGTTTTTTTATTTATTATGGATATATATAAGTCTAGCAATTCAATACAGTTACAAAAGATTGGGGGAAAGAACATGAAATTGAAGCGAGTGTTATTTGAAAAGACGAATATATCTTTACAACAGTCATGGTCATGGTCAACACGTCAAGGTCATACCTATAAAAGGTCGGAATCTGATGTTCGGGATGCGAGATACATGTGTTTGGTTCATGTGTTTGATTTTTTTTGGGAATATTAGATTCCCAAAAAGTGAAAAGGTAATCACATGGCCCTTCATGTGAAACCCACTTAGACCTTAGGCTTTGTTACATTCCCGGTTGATCATTAATTTTATTCCAAAAATACCCCTACTCATTAATAAGAGGGAAATATTACACGAACGACTCTCTTCTCCACTGAACCCAACACAGCTCTCTTCTCCATCTTCAAAACAATGTAATTTCTTTCTCTATTTTTCAAGTTTCTCTATGTGTTCTTCTACTCCCTCTTTAAATCTTCTTTTGATTTTTCTTTAACCGCTTTTAATATATTCTTTTTCTCCGTTTTTATCTTTAATTTGTTGATTATAGGGCTAGGTTCTCTTTAAGCTTCTTCCTAACCTGTCTTGCTGTGTTGTAAACAGAAAAAAATAGGAATCGGTTTAAAAATTCCTTTTATAGGGTTGCCTTTTTTTAGTTATAGATTATGACATTGCCGTTGACAATTTTGTCTACGATTATAAGGCTAAAGTTTCTGTTTTGTTGCCTGAGGGAGATGTAGAAGTGTTTGTACAACAAAACGAAGTGTTATGTAACTAGTTGCAACATTCACTTGCTCTTTTGCTACTAATGTTCACTAATCTTTGTCATTGTGCAATTAAACATATTTTGCTTAAAATTATTTACTAATGTTCACTAATCTTAGTCATTTGTGCAATTAAACATACTTTGCTTACAATTAATTCAATTAGTTTTGATTTTAATTATTATTAAGATGCTTTATTTTTCTATAATTTTAATTACTTTAATTATAGGTTGTAATAAGTTTAATGTGTTAAGATACAAATTTTTAAAGGGCATCTAAGGAATTCACCAAATATGCAATATAAGATATCATTCAACCAAACAACTTAATATCTCATTCTCTCAATCATAACCAAACATAAATGGGTTACAAATTAAATACTCCGTACATTCTCATCAATCTAACATACCCGGTAATCTAACATTCTCATGGTAATATGACATTTCTTGAACCAAAAGCTCCCTAAATGTTTCAGTCCAAAACAAAAAATGTCAAATTTTGATTGAAGTCTTTAAGCACGCTTTTTGCAAAAACTTATAAGATACAGATAAGTTTGAATTTTTAATTTATTAGTATATATATTTTCTGAAGTAATGCATTCTTTAAACCCACTTAATTGACTAAATATTTTCATGTTTGCATAAAAAATATTTTTTTCCTCATAATCCAATCTAGGCCTAGCCCTAATCGCGACATGTGGGCAAGGTCTGCCCAACCGCATAAGGCTAAGTCAATCTATATATATTGACTAGGGCTACACTTTTATAAAAAAAACAAAGCCCGACCCGATCAATTGATTATTTTTTTATATTGAGCCTAGCCCGGCCCAACCCATACTCATTAGTTTTGGGCTGTTGTGGCCCAGCAGGCCATCCCATTGATGATCCTTGACTGGGGCCGCCTAGGGTTACAAAGGAGGAGCTTAATGTGCAATTTTATTGTTTTCCTTCTTCTGATTGTTTGTTTGGTGATAAGTATGATGTAAATTCGTATATTAATTCCATATAACCAATTGAATGTCTAAACAACAAGTAATGTAAAAAAGTTGTTCAAAATTTGAGTTGATCCACGCAACCCAATTAATCGCCCACCCTAGACACCCACATACCCGACACGACATAATGGTGGGAGAGTAAATCTTGTTATGATCTCAAAATGTTTCAAAGTGAGGTGATTCGGGTCCGGTGCACACAAATACATATGATCTCAAACAATTTATGTGTGTAGTACGCACTCTAAAGTCTGATGTGCACAAAGAATCATCACGCGTTGAATAAAATTCTCCTAGTCGCTGCCGGGGATTGAACACGAGACATCGATCCAAATGTCTCACTCAATCACTATTGAGTTGCTCACGAGTTCACATAATAATATGAGTCTTAGAGGATGTTTATGTTGCGAAATTAATTTACATGTGAAAAGTAGGTTGCAAATAATTGACACCATTTAATTGTTTGGTGTTAATTGTAGGACATATTTTAAAATATCTCGCATTATACCATTTAAAATATTTTACATGGAGACATGGTAAAACAATTTGCATGTATTTAATAAATGTATCAATGAAATCCAATGATTATATGTGTATTTTTAAAATAAATTACATGTCTAATCAAAACGATATATTTTTATTTTGCGTTCAAAGCTTCTCTAAACCTTTTACAATCATTTTAAAAATAATGACATATTTATGACTAAAATAAAGATTGTTCATTTTATGTGTGTGAAGTATAAATAAATTAAAAAACGAACAATCACTTATATATACTTTTCTCATTATATTGCGCGCATAAAAGTATGGGTTGAATTCTCATTACCAGGGGCGGAGCTAGGGGGTGCCCAAGCTAGGCCATGGTTCACCCCAAATTTAAAAAATGCCAATATTTTTAGTGTACAAAATTTTGTGTAATTTTTTTTTCTAATAATATTCTTTATACCGGCCCAGTGCCCTGGCTCCCTGCTCATTACGTATACTTGATACTTCGTATAAGGTACTATGTATATAAATTAAATATTCATAACTAAACTGATAAATCCATCAAAATTTTAATTTATTGAATGACACTTTCCACAGGATGTAAGTTCTATAGAATCATTCTGGTTCTAACAGTTTTGCATTAGAATCAGATAGAGATTTTTTTTTTATCCATTACATTTCATCCCAAGAAATCATGAATTTATAATATCATAAAAGATTAAGAGAATGACATTCCACTGCGTTTTTAATTTTTCTTGTGTGCGCCCAATGATCTTGGGAGTTTACTTGCCGGTGCCGGCGCAGGTGCGACCTTGCCCTCGTCGTCCTCCTTGATTGGCTGCAACAATTAAATTTATCAATTTGTTTAGGCTTATCAAATAAATTACTTTTATGAAGGTTTAAATTTATAATTTCATCCAAGTTGCCCAAAATTTACTACTACGTATCATTTATCAAATAAAGTGAATTTGACCAAATATTATGGGATGAGGATAGTAGTTTGATGTGTAGTTTTTTTTTTCTCAACAGAAAGTATTATCAATTTGTTTGTACTCTAAATAATATTGCATTTTTAAAAATCAACACATCAATAAGAATAAATAATACAATATATATTCTTAGATTTGAAGTTTCAAGCAATATTTCATATTTAAAGAAAAAATGAATATGATTTTTATAATCAGTTATAATACTCTGTAACTTTATATAGTACATTATGATCACTTTCTTTTTATTTAATGAAAAACATAAAAATAATTTCTCTAAAAATGCAGCATTGCATAGGAGTAAAATTAATGATATGAGAACATAAATTAATCAGCAAAACTTTTTCGCGTGCCTCTAAAAAATTTAATATTATAACCCACTTACTTTAAAAAGAAAGTTCAATTTTTCTTAACAAAAATTTAATATTATAACAAAGAATATTTTCATTCTATATACAGTATCATTTTTTTATTATACATAATTTCCAATAAAAATATACTCCGTATATTTTATCAAAATTTTAAAGATGAATGTGTATTTTAATACGAGGTAATATATTTTTTTCCAGGAAATGGAAATATTTTAAAGATGCATGAGACAATAGTGGAAGGATAATTTAGAGAGTATTTCATATATACGCATCTTTGATATGCATGTAGGTATGTAACTATGTACAAATTGATATTATTACAAAAATGGCAAGTAAAATACCTTCGCTATCATGGAAGTTTGAATAGCTTGTCTAGAACTATCACCGTCAAACATGTCATCTTTTTTAACCACGTTAGGACCACCGAACATGTCAGAATCTTTCTTAACTGTACGGATATGATCACTAAAAATGTCAGAATCCTTTTTAACAGTAATGATAGAACCACCAAACATGTCGGAATCCTTCTTAATAGTATGAATATGACCGTCAAACATGTCAGAATCCTTCTTAACCGTATGGATAGGATCACTAAAAATGTCGGAGTCCTTTTTAGCTGTAGGACCACCGAACATGTCAGAATCCTTCTTAATAGTATGAATAGGGCCGCCAAACCTGTCAGAATCCTTCTTAAGCGTATGGATAGGATCACTAAAAATTTCAGAATCCTTTTTAGCTGTAGGACCACCGAACATGTCAGAATCCTTCTTAACCGTATGAACGGGGCCAAACATGTCCGAGTCAGCGGATACGCAAAAGATAAGGTTAGAGGAAAGGGCAACCACGGACATTGTCAAAAACACCACAACAAGCTTTTGGTTGCCAGCCATTGTTATTTGTTATGGTGTTCTATTTGATTTTCGTATTTCCCTTATTCTTTTCCTCCGCCTTTCTTCTTTTCCTTAAAATTTCGAGTCTTGTTAGCTTGGATTCGTAGTGTTTTTTATGACCGATTATTGAAAGATGTGGGACTTGTTATTTATATTGCACTGTCCAATGGATTATGCAACAATTTGATTATTTTCAAAGGTTATGCAATATGTACGGATTGACATGTGACTTTGCGTTGTTTCCGGATTAGATGTTTAACCATAGGACTATTTTTTTGACATCCAACAGTCAAGAAACAGCACATAAACAAAGGCTGAGAACCCACCCTTAAGAAAGCCACACATTTATTTCAAAATTTATTTCCTCATTCCCCTAACTCCAAAACACTAGAAAGCCAATCATTTCCATGAATGTAATTATAAAAAAAAAAACAATGCTCTATAGTATGCTTTTCCATGAAATCAGTTCAGAAGGGATCAACCCCTCGTCACGAGAAAGAACGGATTGTGCCGTCAACTTGCCAACCCAACCATGGTACAACAAACCCCTTGAACCGAGCCCAGTAAGTAACCAAAACTTATTATCTGTTTGACTCCCGGACACAAGCTCATCAACACAGCCCAATAGTGGAAGTGATCCTTGAGGTGTGAGTGGGGGAACTGCCCTTAACCCTCCACTCATACCCATTACAGTAGTCAGATTCTTTATGGCGGGACACATTGCAGAAGCTTTACGATGCAGAAGCTCTTCTATGGCTTTATTCCCTTCCTCTCGAGAAACCCCCCTTGAGTAGTTCCTCGAGTTCCAGTCCCATGTGGCACCTACTTGGAGATTTTGTGGGCCATGAAAGGCAATCCATGCATCTGATAATATGGAGGGGGAGTCCTCGAGATAACCGTCTCTGAAATTAAAGCACGCAAAAAAAAAACAGTTTATATGTCTTTTTGAAAATGTCCGAAGATCACAAACAGGTTTTAGAAATGAATATAAAACCATCGTGGAACTAGTTGTGATGTACTGATGTATCATGTATGATGTTATTAACTTTTATATATGATGTATAATACGGAGTAATAATAATTACCTAATGTCATCATTAACCTTCAGGTGTGCAATGATGCCCCTGCATGTCCGCAACGGGATCTTTCCAGAGAGTTCTGGGAGAAAAGCTGCTCTAGCACCAAGACATATTATCACTGCATCATACTCCCCTGAAAGAAATGTCCCATAACAAACCCTTTGATAATTTAAGATCTGTTTGAGAATAGGAAAATGTTAAGGAAGAAACTAACGGGAAAAAGAAGTAACATTGGAAGGAAAGAAAACGTGGAGAAAAGAAAAAGAATGACATTAACCCAATATATTTATGTTTGAAATTTTATTAAACTCATTTTGTTCATATGTGCCTCATATAAGGATAAGAAATCTAAATACATGGAAAACGTTTGAAAACTTAATCATATCAGCTTCCCTTGCATTTCCGAGAAACCAGACGTAAAAAAAATCCCCACCATTTTTCTTTTTCCCCGATCCATGATCCAAACACACCTAAAGTAACATTTTTCTTTTACTCCGGGGGGCGTCTGGGGGAGGGGGTCTGGGGCCTGGGGGTCTGGAGTAATAAGGGCTGAAACTCACTCTATTGAGTTTCGAACCCGAGACCTCCCGTAAGGGAGAGTGAGTCGGCGACCAGCTGAACTGGACTGCTTCCTCACCTAAAGTAACATATTGCAATGACATTGAGAAGTCCATAAACAAAATTATTATCACAGGCTTAAACATGGTACAACATTCCACAAAGGAAAAGTAGAATTAAAAGCTTGCCACATGATAAGGACAACTGTACGACTGTACGTATTAGGACTGAAAAGCTTCATGTTTCTTTTTCTCATTTGATTGTTTTTGCAAGTAAGAACTTACCTGCTAGTTCTAGGAGACGACGGATGGGTTTTTTGTGCAAGCGCAACTCTTTAGGTGCACCGCCAGAATTGGGAGTTTCTGTTGCAGAAATTTGGCATGCTGAGTAGAGAGCCTATAACAATATCATCACATGGCAATGTACAAATTTAAAACTATGTTCAGGAAAAAGAAAACAAAGAAGGAAAACATAGAGGTAAAATAGGGAGGCAGACAATATCGTCTTTGGGAAGGGAAGGGAGAACTATGAACAAAAGAAAATAGGTCTTATTTTGCATCCTTCTTTTTCTCACCAAAGTGGAAGGAAAAAGGAGGGTTTTCCATCCCTTCCCTATTTTGGTGATTTCTCCTTTTGCATCCTCCCTTCATAGGGAAGGGAGAAATATATAACCCGCCTTTTCTTATCCTGCTAGTTAAACTTTATTTTTTTGGGAGGTATGCTACGAAGGTTCCATGAATAAAATATAATAAGTTTAAGGAAAAATTGACAACAATAATCCCACCTTTGACCGGTCTGCTCATAATAATCCCAACTTTGTGTAATCCTAGAATAATCCCACCTTTGCAGCTCATCTTCTATCATTGGACTCTGACTGGTTGATGACCTACTATACCAGGTTTTTTGTCTTTTCTTTGGAAATCTTACATAAATAATCCCACCTTTTACAAATCTGCTCAAAACCGTCCCATGTTTTATTTTTTATTTTTTCACCTAAATTTTTCTTTATTTTTATCCCTAGACACTTTTTAATCCTTTTTCCATCCTTTTGTTTTTATTTCTTTTTCATATTTATCATTCTAATTGTCACTCTACTATAAGAGTTCTTTTGTAAAATTTCTTTTCCGAAAAGATTTTTTGTTGTTTTTTCTTCCCGCATTTTTATTTCATTTCCCTTTTTATGTGTTTTTTATTTTAATCATTCTCTTTTTATTATAAATCTTTTTCCCACTTTACTTTTTGTTATATTTTCTTTTTATTTTCACTTTTGTCTTTTTTTCTTTTTGTTACTTTGTTGTGTGTTTTTTCTTTTCTCTTCTTTTCTTCTTGCTACCTTAAATCTACCATCATCAACTATTGAAAAAAACCTTTGATAAAGTGATTGGGGAAAACTAAAATTTAAAGAAAAATAAAATAATCGGGGAAATACAATAAATGAAAAGTTACATATACTCTTTAACGAAGAAGGATAGATGTAAGAAACATTATCTGAAAAGGGGAAAAATAAGAAGAAATCTAGATCAAGAAATCATCAATATTCACTAACATGTCAAAAGCAAGCAAAAACGGAAAGGGTGAAAAAGGACAAAGAGAAAAACAAATACTTTTTAGTAAGGTAAAAAGGGGGGAAAAGAAGGAAAAGGAAAATTTAAACAAATGAAAATTTGAAATTTGAAATAAATGAAATAATAACAAGTAATGTGGAATAATAGTCTTTAAAAGATAGTTAACCGAATAGTAATACATAAAAAGGGAAGAAGAAGAAAAAAGTACTGATGAAAAGGAAAGCAAAAACATAAACAGATTAAATAAATGAATTAATAAGAAGATGAAAAAGAGAAGGAAAAAATGAAACGTGGGATTGTTTTGAGCAGATCCGTGAAAGATGGGATTATTTATGTATGAATTCCAAAGAAAAGACAAAAGACCTGGTATAACATGTCATCAAATGGTTACGGTCCAATGAGAAAAGATGGGCTACAAAAGTGGGATTATTCTGGGATTACACAAAGGTGAGATTATTATGAGCAGATCGATGAAAGGTGGGATTATTGTTATCAATTTTTCCTAAGTTTAATTACTTTCTTTTTTTAACTCAATCCAACATTCCAAGCATAAGAGCCTTAAGGTGACAATATATTAATAATCACTTTCCTACATTTGGACCTCGGGAAAATGCTAGGAAAATGAAACAAAATGCTAAGCAGAGTTATGTACTTAACTACTTATGTTTGTTTTTACCTCAAAAATTCAAGGGAAAAGGAATTATGATTTATGATTAATGTTCTGAATTTTTGCTAATGCTTGGATTTCTTAATAGAATAGAAGTGCTTTTTCATTCCCTTACCTTAAGATAGCATTGGGAATTTACAGTGAGAGCTTCAGGCATGTGAAAGGCCAAGTCTAGAGGCACAAATAAACCTGGAATCAGCTCATGTGCACCTTCTTTATCAATTCTCTCTATTCTACAGCTTGGAAGGCCTTTCTGAGCATTCTACTAAAGAGTAATAAATAAAAAGTTGTCATCATTTATAATCTTATATTATTACATGTTTATAGTCATGTTAGCAGTTTGAGCACTCACATCAATCATAATGCCCATATTCTTCACACTATGTGCAGGCCTCAGAATTCCACTGCGGCGTATAGGAATAAAGAAAGATGTGAGAAAAAGGGCAAATTTTATAATAGTTGGTATGAGAGAAATAAAAGAGAAAGAGAACACAAAGAAGTGTGCATTGTGTGACAAAAGACATACGGAATACTTCGTAAATAACATTGGGTAACAAGAAAGATACACAAAAGGGAATAATAAAATTGGAAACCACAAAGAAAGAGCATTTAAGACACTTCTTCACATCCTCAGAAAAAAACAAAAAGTGGGATGGCTGACTTTACATATCTTTCATCTAAAAATTTGCTTCCAACCACACAACAATATACTCCGTATGTGAATATGATTGTAAAGGCCATGCCTATGAGTTAGGGAAACTATATGTAGCAAACCCACTCTTTAATGACCAAAGAGAGGGCTGAAAAGAAAAAAATGCCCTAACCTTCTTCTAACCATAAAGTCATTTCCCATCTGACCGTGATCTTCTTGTTCTTTGAAGCACAATGATTTGGACACTTTTGCATCTTCAGCTATCCTTAAGAGATTTAAACTCTCTTTCCAACACTCTTCTCCTCTCCAGAGTAGCTTAACTGCAAAGAAATGATTACAAATTGATATAAAGCAGTACCAAAATCTCAACGTGGTGTTTAACAAAGAATGTGTTAAGCTTGAACCTTTAGGAGAGTATGGATGAAGAAGTCCACCAGATACTCCAGATGCGCCCCCACCAATGCCAACTTCATCATATATATCAATGAAAAGGTGCGACTCCTTGGGACTGTCCTGAAAAATTGAGATTCTATAGCAATTAAAAACAGCTCAAGTGGAATTGAAAGAAAAAAGAGGTGATGAAGAGCTACATTAAATATACAAAAATGAATAAGGAAAAAAGAAACGAAAGCATAAAACCACATGTGACCCACCTGAACACTAAGGTTATATGTTTGGACCCTGGAAAGTGGAAAATGGAAGGGAAAGATGAAAAATGCTAATGGATTATGTACTCTTTTTTTGAATGTTTGGTTTTGCATAGCAAAGTGTGAAATAAAAGAAGTTTTGATAAAATAAAAAATTAAACTTTACCGGTTTACCTGTGTATTTAGATTTCTATGTCTTGGAATAATAGAAATTTAAAAATTTTAATATTGAGCAACTAGCTAAAATTGATTATTGAGTTTTAACAATCTTTTATTTTCCTCCAAATATTATTTACTCTCAAACTACATTTCCCTCCCTATTTTCTTTTATTGTTCCAAAAGGACACTAAGGGTATATTTGGCAAATGGCTTATCAGCCAGCTTTTAGCTTGTTTGACCCATTTCAACTGTTTGATTAGTCAAATAAGCTAATAATAATGTTTGGTAAATGGCTTTTAAAATTAGCTTGTTGAGTTTGAAAAGCTGAAAAAATGGATTGTGGAAGAAGCTAAGGGGAGCAGCTTCTTCATTTGGCTGGTTCAATATACACTCTATCAGCCATTTCGAAAGAGCCAATTTTACCAAACAGTTATTTATAATCAGCCAACATAACCAGTCGGTCAAAACAGCTAACACAACCAGCTGTTTCGAAACAGCTGACACAACCAGCTACCAGCAACAGCTAACAACCATTTACCAAACAAGGCCTAAAGATGCAGTCTTTTCCACTTCCCCCACTCTCATATACTCACTTCTCAATCAGAAGCTACTTACAGATTATCTGCACATTAATGAAACAATATACACAATAGTTATATAATAAAGAAATAAAATACCTGCAACAAATGCCAAACCACAGACAGCCCGGCATAGCCAGCACCAAGAACTGCATATCTGTTTATACAATCCAAACAAAAGTCACGAATTCAATAATGGTGGGAAATGCACACATTTATTAATAAATATCTCTATCAAACGATTAGAAAGGTAAAATTAAACCTAATAGGCCGCTCAGAGAGAGCAGAGTAACATCGGGCAGGGAACAGAGAAGAAGGCACCGTTATTAGTGAAATAGACTTTTTTATCTGAACAGAGCTGCCAAGAAGAGATACCAATGGTGATTTTGGTTTTACTTTCAAGGAAACCGTTGCTGAGTATTGGGAGAGTAGCGCCATAGATTGTCCCAAAAGGTCATGCTTACACTTTGAGAACGCGTGCCCATGAAGTTCTCTTAATTTTTAACTCTGATCCTAAATAAAGTTGTTTTCGACTTCGCACAAATTAAATAAATAAATTTGATTTTGGCACTGTTTTGCACACTTTTTGGCACTGTTTTGCATTGATTTAATGTAGATAATTTGCCAAATATTGAAGGAAGAAGAAGTGTGAACTTTATTTTGGACCGGCCCAAAAAGGAAAGTGTGAACTTTATTTAGGACCGGAGGGAGTATTTCATTTGTGAACTCAATTTATTTATTTAGATAAACTAATTGTAGAGGAGTATGTTAATTTTTAAAGCTACAAGTGGGTTATAACTTATAACCAAAAAAGAAGAAGCTACAAGTGGGTTAGATTCTCAAGGGTTGAAACTTTAAAACATTGTCTAGTTTTTACCTATAATTTGAAAGTGAATGTGTACCTTTGAGAGTTTTATTAAGATTTTTGAAAAATTGAATGTATGGTTTTTGAAAATATTGTGGGATCTTCAAAAACTTTCATGTTTGTATGTTTAGATGTGTTCTAGATCTGCAGAGAAGAAGTTATATGAGTGTGGTTAAACTATTGAGAGAATGAAGGCAAGTGTAAATTTAGAGTCATATGTTCATGACAGATGGTGACACATGTGAGGGAGGGTTGTATTGAAAAATGCATAAAATAATTATAGGAGTTGATACTTCATTGTTTAAACAATTTTGGCAACAAGAAGGAAGGAAGTAGTATGAGAAGCCGAGAAAATAGGTATACGGGAACGATGGGGACGATGAGGTGGCTATGTTTGATGATTCAAAATAGCGAAGGATGACTGAAGTGTGGAGGGATCAAGGCAGTGGTGATCGATGTGGATGACAAATAGTAAATGGGGGATTGAAGGGGGCTTGTGAAAAGTTATGAGTTCTTTAAGTAAAGATTGGCATAGTAACCGCATAATAGTTCCAACTTTAATGTTGAGTTATCCAGACTGTTTCACTATTGATCGTGTGAGGCATAACCGAAAAGATCCCCTTAATATTCACGTGTTTGGGTGGTTTTCTTGAGAGAAAGAGGAGGGGGGGGGGGGGGGGGGTGCATCGGTTGGTTATGAAGGATTTTTATAATTTGGTGTATGAGGGTGATAAGAAAAGGAGGCTACTATATCCATCTTGAATGTTACATGAGTAGAGGGGACTAGTGTATGAGAGTGAGATCATTTGTGTGACGTTTCTTTTGATGGGTATGTACTAATCATGTATGAGGGTGGAAGCCATAACGTGGGTGGACGAGGTTTTAGCTAGGATGTTGACCTTAGAGGGATGTATGTCTCGATCTATAATGGGAACTCGGGATGTTAAAGTATGGACGTAGGATGGGTATCTTGTGATCACATCTAACTCTTTTCATGTTATACAACTATATGCTCGACCATCGAGTAGAAGGGATATGCCCAGTACAAATTTCCTTCATTGATCTTTGATAGTGTATTCATGATCTCAGATGAGATTGGGGAGAAATTTTGAGTCATATCTTCCAAATATCTTCATTTCATCTCAATAATATCTTGCACGTCGCCTCGTTTTATATAGATTTTTCGGATCTAACACCGATTGGGCCTCAATTTCCTCGAAACTCACAAGTTCCAATGTCGGTTAGCGTAGGTCCAGACAATGCTTTAACCATGCACAAACAATATAAACGAAGATATATATGGTGTTTCGACTATACTAAGACATAATAAGCGAACACACTGAGGATACTCTAATCACACACAATTTTTTATCTGTCACACACAATTCACCTCAAAACTTATATAGAAATCGTCTATGGACAGAAAAAACTTGTATAAAAATTGTAGAGAAATTTATCCCCCGTATCACAAAAACACAGTGTCATGATCATTCTATGACTAGTTGCTTATTATTCCTAATGTATGACCGCACATGGTCATGAGTCATGACCATGCACATGTGTTTAAACGTATATTTTAATACCAATACTATCTCTCTATTTAATTAATACCAAAGGCATCTCACGTGATAAATTAGTACTTAGTAGTTAGTGGTATGTAACCGTCGGAAATATAACTGCATTCGCATAACCGCATGAAACGCCGGAATCATAGTTACGTATTAATAGGATTATTAATAAAACATGGCCCTTATTACAGCACATACATTTCATTATGTTACTATGTAAAGCTTGTGCCTTTTAATGCCCTGCATCCGTATGAGTACAATTAATGCCCTCAATATTTGTGAACATACCTTCTGGTTCCTATAAAATATGGCCCTTATTACATCACATATATTGCCCTTTATTTTTTCAAATTTCTACACGCCTGTTTTTCATCTACCCCATCATACAATTATTGCTCTTACTCAAACAACACAACATATATTGGTTAATTATTGCCCAAACTCAATCTTACCCAAATCAATGTTCATCCCTTGAACCCAACCTAAACTACTGCCCTACTTCTTCCAACATTGCAGAACAATGTTTATTATTGAAGGTTCCTCACCTATTACATCTACCCTTTTACTGCCCTATCATGACCCCTATTTTTCCCCAAGGATGGAATTCTAAGCACATGCACAGCCTTAAATCTATTGTTTGACCACTGACGGTGCCGTTCACTGTTATGATGTTGGTAGCCGTCGCAGATGACCTTGTGCCCGTCGTCTTCATTCCGTCCACCGCTCCTCCATCCCCTTTCTTCGCCATTGATTCCTTCATTTCGCTTCACCGCCTACTTCCTCTGCTAGTCGCGCCTCTAGTATGTTTCTGTAGAAGGAAGCTTTTTTCTTCGGCTTGGAATGCGTTTATTTTGGAGTCTCACGCGCCTAAAAAATAGCTTGGTCTCCGTTTCATAGTATACTTCCTTTTAGGTTGAAACCGTCCGGACTGCGAAAGGCATAAATGCCAGGGCAATGAAGTCATTTCGGGTAATATTTCGGTTGTGCGCAAGCCATGAAACAGTTCCTGGTGGTCATATAATTGACTTTTTAGTTTGCAAGTCATATTTTGAGAAAGTGTTGTAGTTTTAGTATTATTGCCGCATTATTCCCAAAATTGTATGTACGTGCACAGACAAAACTTATACACAAACACTTGATTAAAATATTGTCCATGTGTTTGATTATTTTGTCTGTGAGTATTAAATAATTGTTTGTGTGTCATTTATATTGTTTGTGACCACACAATAGTTGTTTGTAACAAGAAAAATTTATCTTTGTATGCCCATACATAAATATTGTCTCGACACATATAATAATTTATCTTTGTCCGTGTACAAATAATAATTATTGTGTATATATTCATTTATTTTGTTTGTGCGTGATTGAAGTATTGTCTGTGTGTTTGTTTATTTTGTTTGTGTCCAAACAATAATTTTATCAAGGCACATATAAGTATTGTTTGCGTACACATAAAAATATATTTTTAAGTATATTTGCTTAGGTAAATTACTTCTTGATGCAAACAACAATTACTTGGGGGAAAAAATCTATTTTCACCTAAAAGATATACTCACAAATAGATTTTTGTGTCTAGATAGTAATTGTCAATGTCTCTACAATAATTGTCTGTGGAGGAAAGTTACCTTCGTAAATACCCTTAGAAGTTATAACATGTTATTAATGTATGTTTCTTATATGTGTCACGAAGTAATTTACCTTTAGCAAATATACTTAGAAACAAATTATTTTTTTGTGTGCCCAAACAATACTTGTATCAATTGTATGTATCTAGACAAAAATATAGTCTCGACACAGACAATACAATATGCGTATGAAAAGTTATGTCCGGCCCGAGCATAGACATAATAATATGTGATTAGTTCGTGCACCCTTGAAGTTTGTATTAACTTTATTTAACCCTCTACTAATTTACTTAGCTTCATTAGCTTTGCCCAAGTATGTTGACTAAAGTAAATTTTTTCTTAGACATACACTTATTATATATACACAAACAATAGTTATCTATGCATAGACAATATTTATGTGTCATGAAATAACCTTTTATTTGCTAAGAAGAAATAAACCCTTGTACATGGTTGTGTCTAAAAATATGGCTTCTCTTATGAGTACTCGATATTTTATCTCCTACAACTTATAACCATATTCAATGCAACAACACCTCATATGCCTCATAACAAATACATTATAGGTCTGAAAATATAATTGAGTGTTTGAATTGAAATTTGAAATTCATACTAGTGGACAGGAGAAAAAAATGAACATATCGTATCAAACTACACTTTCATTCCAACATTTTATCAAGCATATTGTGGACAGGAGAAAAAACTCAACTAAACAAACATTTTCTAATGTTAGACAACGTCATCACCGGTGATAATAAGTGATATCATGGAGCCCACCTCCACCACTTCGAACCTTGATTCCATCGATCTCGTTGACTAGAAGTAGGTGAAGGTCGTCGTGACAGCCGTCGTCGTGATCTTGAACACTCCATAAGAGAACTTCTCCTAACTTCATAGTAGGTTAAGTTTTAATAACTTTACTACATAAAATAGAAGTTGAGAGCGTAGAAGACGGGGAACAAAATGGATTGTGAAGGAATTGAGAGCGTAGAAGATGGGGACTGTGGAAGAATGGAGATGCACGATAGATAAGGTCACGAGAGAAATGTGAGAAGAGTGGAATTGGGAGAAAGTGGGTGCGGTAAAAATTAAAATAAAAGAAGGGTAAAAGGAGAATCTTATATTGCGTGTAATGAAACATGTACACAGGCGTGTACATAAAGCATTTTCGAAAGGTAAGAGCGGGTAGACGAGAGATTATGAGATTGAGGTATTTTTGGAGGGAGTAAAAATGGTAAAAAAGATGGTTTTATATGGGGTGCAAATATGGTACAAATTAGCGCTACCCATCGGGCGGGTTGGGTCGTGTTTGCTATATTTTTCGGGCCTACCCAATTTGTTCGGGTTAGCTATTAACCAACTCGCGGTACACAAAATAACTTGGTAAATCATACATGAACGGGTTGGGTAGGGTCGGGTATTTAAAAAAAAATCACATCGGGTTGCATCTTTCATGTGAGAAATCATTGTAACCAATTTCAAACTCGATTAACTTGTTTCCAAAACACACAAACAAATACAAATACTTGTATCTTTTATAAGCAAAAACATTAGGGAGTAGTATTAAAACACCCTTCCGTAAAAGAAGTTCATTTAGAAGGAAACATAAACATATAATAATCAACTGGCCAAAATGTTAAATGTTTAATTATAATTCTCATATCATAAAGTCTTAGATAGAACACATTGATCATAAATTTAAATTATCCAAGAAAACATTGTAGCATAATAATAGTAAAATGAACTTTTCGGCTACTATAGAGTTTGAGATTTTAATTCCCCAACCCTACCCATCAGGTGCAAGTTCAAACATATTTAACTTATGAATATTTTTTAAAATCAAATACCCAATTAAATAGAATCGAGTAGAGTTGGGTCTGATGGATTATGCGGGTTCAGGTTATTCTTGTGTAGCCCACTACAAATTTTGGATATTTATAGGATTTTTGACAGTTAGAACTTAGAAACCCTTTTCAATGTTCGTTCCCGGAATCTAGGTACAAGCACCCGATTAAATGCTGCTTTTATTATCTCTCTGGTATATCCCCATCAAACTATCATGAAGAAACTTATGGCGTTGACATGGTACTGCTTATCACTTCCACACCACTTCCACGTGCCCTCTCTCCCATCCCGCCGCCATCTTTCTCCCTCATGAAAAATGGAAAATAGAACGGCTAATCCTACATTCCTACTCAGCAATCTTAGCCCCCGCTCCCCACTCCTATAATCTTTGCTGCCACCTCTTGTATCTTCCGTGGACCCTCTTGGAAATTTTGCAGTAATTGTAGAAACCCAAATTGGAGAATTGAAGGAAGATTGGAGAATCACGGCAAAGGGAAGGGGCATTATTGTTCTTCATTTTTCTCATAACGGTTCATCTGGAATCGGGTCGGGTCGGGTCGGATTTGCAGGTACATGAGCATCTACTAGCTCATTGAATCTTTTTCTTTGGGTTGAATTGACGTTTTCTTGTGTTAAAGTAAAGCAAGGTCCAGCCTTTATCACTGTGATAGCTTCTAGGGTTTATTACAACAGTTATAGGAAGGTAGCAGTTTTTTTTCTTTTAGCTTTATATTGGAAGAAAGTTATAAGTTGAAGGAAAATTCGCATCAGTATGGCTTCTGATAGGAACTTGAAACCAATTAATTTGGGGCCTGCGAGTATGTTAAGAACTGTCCAGCTGGAAGAATCACTCATGGTTCCAGGGGGCGTTTACGGAAATGCCATCCCAGGGTTTACCCCACAAACAATAACTCACTACCCTGTAACAACCCCTGATACCGGATTCGTGAGCCTAGGTTTTACCAATGGTGTCCCTGTCGTGTGCGGAGGCGGGGTCCTGCCACGGATTCCGTCCAAAGAAGTTGGTGCTGGCGGGAATTCGTTGTCCTCAGGTAGGAAAGTGAAACTCCTCTGCAGTTTTGGCGGGAAAATACAGCCGAGGCCTAGCGATAGGGCATTGAGGTATGTAGGGGGGCAGACTAGGATCATTGGAGTAAGGCGGGATGTGAGTTTTCATGATTTCATCAGGAAGATGGCGGACGTGTATGGGGAAGATGTGGCAATTAAGTACCAGTTGCCGGATGAGGAGCTCGACGCGCTCGTCTCTGTCTCTTCCCCCAATGATCTCGAGAACATGATGGATGAGTTCGAGAAGTTGGCGGACGGGTCCGCAAAGTTGCGGGTGTTCCTGTTTTCACCATCAGAAGTTGGCAGCAGCGGAGTCACAAATGTCAGGACCAATTCTAGTGCTAATTCGGAGGCAAGCGGCAGTCAAGGAGCAAACGCAATACCACTTTCCAGTGAGGCAGCAGTATTACCTAGCAGGATAGCTTCAGCTCCTCCTCCAAGTGCAGTAGTGGAACCAAATCCAGCCGTATATCCTGAATGTGGTTTTGGTTTGCCTAAACCAGGAATCAGTTTCCAGTTGCATTCAACACATGCACCGTCTGATATGCTGACCCATCCAGATTATAACCCAAAACAATTTACTTCACCGCTATGGGGAGAAGGTGGGATCACGAGTGTCGGGGTCAATGCTAGTGCTAACTTGGAGGCAAGCAGTGGTCAAGGAGTGATCACAGTGCCACTTTCCAGTGACACAGTGGTATTACCTAGCGGGATATCTTCAGCTCCTCCTCCAAGGGCAGTATTGGAACCAAATCCAGCCACGTATTCTGAATCTGGTTTTGATTTGCTGAAACCAGGAGTAAGTTTCCCATTACATTCAACATATGCACCGTCTGATATCCTGATTCGTCCAGATTATTACCCACAACAATTGCCTTTGCAGTTTTTCGGGGGAGTCGGGGTCAAAAGTGTCGGGCCCAATGCTAGTGCTAACTTGGGCGCAAGCAGCGGTCAAGGAGCTACTGCAATACCACTTACCGGTGAGGCATCTGTACCGCCTTGTGGGATAGCTTCAGCTCCTCCTCCAAGGGCAGTAGTGGAATCAAATCCAGCCATATATTCAGAGTCTGGTTTTGATTTGCTGAAAGCAGGAGTAAGTTTTCAGCCGCATTCGGCATATGCACCGTATGGTATGCTGACCCATCTAGATTATTACCCACAACAATTACCTTCACAGTTTTTGGGGGAAGGTGGGGTCATGAGTGCCGGGTCCAACACTAGTGCTAACTCTGAGGCAAGCGTGGGTCAAGGAGTGATCGCAATACCACTCTCCGGTGAGGTAACGGTATTACCTGGCGGTATATCTTCAGCTCCTCCTCCTCCAAGGGCAGTATTGGAACCAAATCCAGCCATATGTTCTGAATCTAGTTTTGATTTGCTGAAACCAGGAGTAGGTTTACAGTTGTGCTCGACATATGCACCGTCTGATATGCTGACCTGTCCAGATTATTACCCACAACAGTTTTTGGGGGAAGGTGGGCCAGTCTTCACCCAACAGCCTTTAACTGCAGGTGCTACACTTCAGCAATTTGTTTCTTCTCACGTCACTGCGAACCCCAACCTTAATCGTGTTCCAAATAACCCTCCACAAGTTAGATTTGAACAATTTCCTTCAGAAAACACTCCGGCAACTTCAACATTAGCAGGGTGCCATCAGATTCCTGCTAATAAGGATCAGGAATGTGATAAAATACAGTCAGATTTCTATCAATTGCTCCCTGGGGGTGTAGCAGGATTGTCTAGTGGCATGCAATTGCAATCTCATTATTCACAATTTATACCCACGGTTCCTCTTTCATGTCAAGTTGATACACCTGAGAACCTGTTTGTCCCATTGCAGTACCATGTTAAAGAAACTATAAATGCAAACGAGAATCTTAAGCAAGTCGAGAGTAGAATGGGAAATCTTAAATTATATGATAAATTTATAGAGGACATTGCCTTGGAAAACAATGTTCAACAGGTTGTTCAGGGCCCCACATTTGTTGATGCAAACGACACCCAAAAGACTGAGATGCCCAGCACGACATCAGCACAAACCACATTATTGGAGAGTCTGTGGCCCCTGGAACCATGTGCGGTATTGCCTCCTCCTCTAGATGCACAGGAAAACTCATCCTCGCTGTTCAGCAACCTGGATCCTTGGAATATCATGCAGTGTGATGCTCATTTCCCGCCACCTATGCCTAGCAAAATCCGGCTGAGAAAGGAAACTGTGGCTGTCAAGAATCATCAATCAGATGATGGTGAGATGACCATAGATGGGAATCAGGGATTAGGAGCAAAAATGCGGGTGTATAGAGGAGTTTCTCCATCTTCTGCCTATCCAAACAAGGACTCAGGTTCTGGTTCTGCACTTTCCACAAAATCAGGAATTTTTATTCTATTTTATACGCGTTAATCAATGACTGATTTAGTCCTTTGTATGTATACTTTAGTAGTCTAGTCCCTTTATTCAAAACACTATGTATCTGAAAATGTGTTATTACTATAAAAAAATCTGTATTTGAACAAAAGCAGCTGATTTAATTGGAATTAATGTATTATTTCGAACAAATTGTGCCAAGCAGGTGAAGTAATAAAAAATTAGCTACACCAATAAGTAAATTTAAGAGTATAGCTAGATTTGAAAATTTCCAACCATTGTACCTTACTAAATATTAAAAAAGGTGACTTTTTTTTGTAAAACGTGGGTTTTTTAGGGGTGAGCATGACTTTTTTTTAGGGAAGGTAGTACTATTCAATGAAACAATTCCACTTTTGGTCCGGGTGGACAAGAACCAATAGTCATGTACCAAATATGGACAATGTCATTGGTATAATACTCGTATGATCAAATGTGAAAATTTTCTTATTCAATTTTATTCTATCTTTCTTCTGGACTCATTTCAATTATCAGACAGATTTTACATTATTTATGAAGGGCATTTTTGTCCCCTGAGGACTAAATTAGGTCATAATCAAAGGCTAAGTTGGGTCTAGATTTAGTGAATCAGCGAAAGTACTATTCTTTCTTGGAACTAACCATGAATGAGATCTAATTTGTGGCCAAATTGCATAATTGAAGATCAAACTGAGGAATAGTGTACACTTGAGGGATTAAGTCGTGTATTAACACTAATAATCTATATTGTGATCTTCTTAGAGTTGTTTGGTGCTTTTTTGAAGGCTCAGCAGATGAAATAATCAAGCAAGAACTTCAGGCTGTTGCTGAGGACGTAGCGGCATCTGTTCTCCAATCATCCCTTCCTTCTAACACAGAGCATAGTAGCGAAGTTCAAAGTGCAGGTGAAGAAAAGCATTCTGACAGAAATAAGTGCGAGGTTCCCGCCTTGTCTCTAGTTGCCTCTATAATTTCTGTTCTATTGTGTATTGCATATTTATCACTCAGTTGTTTTACACATATTTCTGTTCAGAAAGTGGAAATTGAGTTGCCAGAGAGGAGAGATTTTGGATTTGCTTTGTCAGCTGACATTGGTCACTTGCAGGTTTGAATGATTTTACTTTAAATGATACGGAGTACTTGGCAAAATATTTATGTTAGGGAAAATTGCACTATTAGTCCCTGAATTGTTGACATTTCGGAATTCGAGTCTTTCAAATTTTGCAATTTAGTCTTTTGGTTGTACTAGTAATTTAGATACAATTTAGAGAATATTACCCGCAATAGGACTAAAACAGTTTGAAAATTTAATAATTTCGGTTAAACCAGTGTTCACAAAGTTGAGTATTAAGGCTTCGCGAGGGCAGTCTCACTATTCTATATTGTAAATAATGCCACCATAAATCTGAACAGTAAATTGTTCATTTAACAGGATTGACCTATTGAATCTCGATAATAACAATCGAGTGGCTAAGGCTCTGTTTTGCAGCTAATGATGGCTATTTTCTAATCAGCTGGATCACTAGTTTTTGACTTGTTTCGCTGAAAGGGACCTCCCTGATCACTATTCTTCTCAGACAAATTTGCAGATTAAGCCATTAGAGCCAAATAACCCTTTGCAAATTGATCTTAAATTTACAAATTTTGAAAGACGGATCCCATAATGTCAAAACATCTGAGGGAATAGAAAGTAGAAAGCATGATTCTCCATTTATGTTGTGCAGTTGAACTAATAACAGAAGCTGTCTTTTTCTGCTACCACCTCTTTGTGCGTAGATTATAAAGAACAACGATCTTGAAGAATTTCGGGAATTGGGTTCAGGCACTTTTGGCACTGTTTTTCATGGAAAGTGGAGAGGAACGGATGTTGCTATCAAACGGATCAATGACAGATGTTTTGCTGGAAAGCCTTCAGAAGAAAAACGAATGGTTGGTATTTTTAGGGTCTGTCTGGAACTCATGAAGTGCTTGCAGAAGAAAACAGGGAGGAATAATGAGGGGGGAAATTGGAAAGAAAGAAGATATGTGGGGAGGGGGTGATAAAACACTGGTCAAACTCAGTATATTAGAATTTCTAGAAATACTAATCATATGTTTTTTTTTTGCATTTTCCGAAGTACAACCAAACTGTCTGGTGTCTAATCACACAACTTTAACCTCCATCAGTCTCTGATCTAAAGATAACCTAAAGTTTCAACTAATGATTTCCTTTACATTCAGATTACCTTTTTTCTGTTGATGCTAATAATGACCTTTTGCCGTGTTACATGCAACACCTTTAATATAAGAGGGAAGATTTCTGGAATGAAGCCATTAACCTTGCAGACTTGCACCATCCAAACGTTGTTGCATTCTATGGTGTTGTGCTCGATGGGCCCAATGGTTCTGTGGCAACAGTTACCGAATATATGGTTAATGGTTCTCTGAGGAATGCTCTGCACAACCATGAGAGGTAACAATCTTCTTGTGCGGATTAATAAGGTCAGGCAGAGTAAACGTGTACTTAAGATTAGGCTATTTACCCAAAATCACCTGACTTTCAGCAAATTTACACCCCCCCCCCCCCCCCCCGATTGACCCATGAACTCTTCAAGGGCCCCGTTGAGCCTCAGAATTAACTAGTCTTAAATGATTTTGGACATGACTTTTTTGGATCTATAACCCCATTTCTGTTGCAACTGATCTTATAATTTTTTCAATGAGCCGCTTGTTGCCGCCATTCAACTTATGATCGGAATTGATGGAAATGCATATCATGTTTGGCAGGAGCATTGATAAGTGGAAGCGTATTTTGATAGCAATGGATGTAGCATTTGGAATGGAATACTTGCATGGGAAGAACATTGTACACTTTGACTTGAAAAGTGATAACCTATTGGTTAATCTCCGTGATCCACACCGCCCTATTTGCAAGGTCAGTATGTTTCCTCTTCAATTACAGAATTAAAGCTGTAAACTAGTTCAGGGATATATTATATTTTTATTGTCAAAGAATGTTGGAACTTTATCTGTCTGAAGTACTGAGGCTTTAATTTTTTTAACAATCACAACAACAACAACAATTATAATAATAAGTTAAGAATAATTTCCTTTGTATATGATGGCCTTGTCGCTTATTTCCATTATTTGCAATGGAGCCAAAGATTCATTATTTTTTGGCTTGAGATTATGATGGAATAAAGCAAAATGGCTCACTAAACTGTCTGCACTTCTTTGTTATGAAGCAGCTGTCAGTCCATGCAATTTTGGACGGAATTTTCACTATGGGTCATCCGGAAACAGTCTCTCTGTATTTAGTACAGGGGTAAGACTGCGTACATCCGACCTCCCCTTACCCCACCGTAGGTGGGAGCCTTTGCGGCACTGGGGTAAATGAAAATGAAAATGATGATGGCCTTGTCGCTTAAGTTTGTAATTTGTGAAGGTTGGTGATTTGGGACTCTCCAAAGTGAAATGCCAGACACTTATCTCAGGTGGTGTGCGTGGGACCCTTCCATGGATGGCACCCGAGCTTCTCAATGGCAATAGTAATCTTGTCTCGGAGAAGGTGGGGCCTTCACAAGTCCCTTACTAGAAACTCATTCTTAAAGTTATTGTTTACCCAAAATTACGTGTCGTTTTTATGCTGTTGATAAATGTAAATGGATGTGTTCTTAGGTTGACATTTTTTCCTTTGGAGTCGTAATGTGGGAACTTTTAACCGGAGAAGAACCATATGCAGACTTGCATTATGGCGCCATAATCGGTAATGCTCATTCATACTCCATATTTGTTTTTACTAAGCACACCCAAGGCGTCCCTTGCCTCCCCTCCTATGCCATTTTTGCTGCCCACTCGTGCATATGCCTTAGAGGTGGGTATGGTCTGTCTGCTTTCCTCTGATTCACATTTTGAAATGGCTGGTTAGAGTACCCCATTAGGCAGAATCTTAACCAGAGTAGTTGTGTAGGAGGTTGGTAGTAAGTTATCCTATCCCAGCGAATATAGATATACAAATTAAGATATAAAGTACTTTGTTTGAAACCATCCATCATATTATGTTAACCTTTTAGGATAGTGAGATCAAATTTTGGTATACAGGTGTAATTAAACCGCTTGTTCAATGGTACCTGATTGTTTTTTAGTGCGCGAAAGTGACAGGGATGAGAACCAGGAATAGAAACTTGTGTCAGGTCCACTATATATAGGAATCGGTAGCGTGAGTGTATGGTTGGTACCGGGTCAGGTCCCAGGGACCATTTCATGATCATGGCAGGGAAAAAACTCTTCAGTCACGGTTTGGACAGGGGCATTGTTCACTTGCAAAAGTGACTTATATACACAATTGCATGCAGGCGGTATTGTGAGCAACACACTGCGGCCGACTGTACCAGAATCATGTGACCCCGATTGGAGAGCTCTCATGGAAAGATGCTGGTCAGCTGAACCATCAGAGAGGCCGAGTTTCAGTGAGATTGCAAATGAATTACGGGTTATCGCATCAAAGTTCCGGCCTAAAGGATAGAGCCAATGGTTACTTACACCTGCAATTTCCCAAGCTAAATGTTGGACCCTTATACATGGTTATTGTCTAGCCTCTTTTAAAAAATTATTTAAAAAAAGGAAAATTCATGTAAAAGAACGTTCATTTGAGATGAAGATCCTATTTTTATAAAATATAAATCTGAACCGGTCTTTATGTAACCAATTTCACGCATTTGTAATTTTGTATATATTACAATCAACATTCTCAGTCTCATAGACCACTCCCAGGAGTCCCAGGAAGTTTGCAGTGAACCGTTTAGAAGCGAAGAACGCAGTTTGAACCCATACGCGCAGTTACTTCTATTAAGATTATACTCTTTTTTTGAGAAGATATTAAGATTAAATTTTCTTAAAAGTGTAGAAGCTTTTACTTTTGATTTATTTAGAGATTATGTGAGAGATGAATATTAGAAAAAGTTGGTAGTGTGGCAAGTGACTTTGAAAAAGTAAAAGCTTGAGTGTGAAAAACAGATTAAAGTAACTCTCCCATAGCTGAAGCACCTGTTGGACATCCATTGTTTGAAGTAAAAAGTCGAGAAGTCCTTTTAACTAATCGCAAACACTTGGGTCCCGTTTACTTATTTCTCCAGTTTTGTGTTTTGTTTTTCTGTTTTCCTTTTCCTAGTTTTCTGTTTTCATTTTCCAAATCCATTTTCCAAATGTGAAAACATGTTTTCCAAATTTGAAATAACACAAAAGGTGAACTTAAATGATAATCCACAAACAAAGTTTAATAAGTAACATTTTTAATAAGATACAACATTGTCTTAAAAACAAAATACAAACACTAGTAATACTTTGATGTTGTCTTCAAACATTATAGAGTATTTGGAAAATGAAGTCTGTGTAGAGTATAAACTGAAGTCTGTATTCCACTCGCTAATGATAGTATACTTTAACTCCAAACTAAAATTCAAGGTGTATACTTTGTACAACACATACAAAAAAAAGGATGACTATAACACAATCTGACATATAGAGAGTGAAGCTCTGTCCCCGGTATTTGCAGAAGCCCTATGCATATTTAGCATACTAATCTCTCATCGCAGTTGCCAGGATTCGAACCCGGGACCTAACTCTTGTGGCACTCCCTTGCTACCAGTTGAGCTACGCCCATCGGTTTGTACATCACATACCAAAGTTCATTAGGTGGCTAACGTATTGTACAGAACAAAAGCTATTATTTGAATGAGAAAAGACCCGAGTTCCTTTAAGAAAATTATATATATAAACACCAAAATTTAATGGCAAACATAGCCATAGTCAGACCGGCCAGTTTTAGTCGTAGCCCTACACTCCCCACTGCCTAAGATGGTTTGGAAACATAGATATCAACTGGGAATGAGACCAGCGGTCCACCCATAGCAGTAAAACTGGTCGTAAGCTCTAATCCAAGATACAAACTTCAATTTCATATAGGCCAACTGAAATCCCATATTCAAATGTGACCAGCCGTGAAACTGAACAATTGTTTTAATTTCTAAAATTTTTGAAACTTTGATAAGAGCTCACTCAAGAGTTGGGATTTACTTTAATTGAGAGCTTACCTTGACCGCAAAACAAGAGCCGATCGAAGAGGATGGAGATTCTATGATGTTGGACGCAACTCCTAGCGATGACAGCGAAGCAATATTGAAGAGGGTAGAGAATTAGGGCTTCCGTCCGATTTTAATAGCGATGGAAGTGGAGAAGAGAGTAGGCGGAGAGGGGTAGGCGTCGAGTCTTAAAGAGGAGGGTAGCGATAGAGACGTTAGAGAAGAAGTTACGACAATAGGCGGAGGGTAGGCGACGATTATTGAAGAGGATACTGTAGCACTGCATTTTCCTCATTTGGAAAACGCCTAAAACTCAGTTCTCCCTTTAAGAAGAAAAATAGAGATATGTCTCATGTTTTCGTTTTGGGAAAATTAATTGGTAAACACGTTTTCCATTTTTTCTTTCTCCAGTTTTCCAGTTTTCTGGAAAAACAGAAAATACTTCTATTAGTAAACGAGTGCTTAATCTTATTGCATATTGTTTATTGACTTTAATCTAGGGATGGAGCGGGACCTGGTCGGGTCAGGCTTTGGGTCGGGACTGGGCGGGCTCCGAACTAAAAATTTCAGGCCCGGTACTGGTCCGGGTTTGTACCGGGACTGGGCGGGCTCGGGACTAAAAATTTCAGGCCTGGTACTGGTCCAAGTTTGTACCGGGGTCAGCCCGGCCCTAAATAATACCGGGTCAGGCCGGGCTCCAGGATGGGACTGAGCAATAAATTAAAAGACAGTAGATAAACACAAACTAGAGCTTTTATTCACCGCACATGCTTAATTGCTTATTTATCATCACGAACAAACGTGGAGTAAATGGATTTCATCCCATTTTCACTACTGTCATGCCTAAAAACATTAAACATATGTATTCACAAAAGTGTGCCAAGGGATGAAAAATATTCAGTTGGTGGAATGGTTAATATTCTCTCATTAACCAACAAAAACCATATCTTTAATAGTCGAAGGGCATGTTTCCTCAATCCTCATACACTAACATTATTCACCAAGTTGATAAATAAGTGAATAAAGAAAACACAATAAAGCAAGAAATGTACACCTTGCCTAGTCCTAGAAAAAATAGTGAAGAAGTTACTCTTTTTGCTGCAATGACTGAAAGTCTGAAACTAATGAAATTTGCACTTCAAGCTTCATATATTCTATGCAGATTCTTTTTTCTGTAATTATTTAATAAATATATTGAATATACAATACTTTGGATGACTTGGCATATTCGGCCGTGTAATCAAATTTTAGAATATTCAACTATTTCCTCCAGTTTAAAACATACCAAACAGACCCTAATAGCTGTGCCTAATTTACAGTTTGACAAAAATTCACAAAAACTAAATCGACAATCAAAGTGCTGTTTGGGGAAGAAACCTCATCATATTGTATTACCAATAATCTATACAAGAACACACACCATCCTTAAAGTGATGGAAACGGTTTGTGTCTCTAACAAAAATTTCCCTCCCTTCAAACATTGATATGAATTTCATAAACGAATGACAGTCACCACAAATTCTAAGATTCTTTATAACCCTAAGGGGATACCCTTTGCCAGTGTTCAAAATTCCGAGAACAACCGCCAACTTCTCGCTATGTCCACATAAAATCTGTTCTTTCTCTTGTTCTTCCACATCCTGTAACACAAAATCTGTGTTGGGCAAAACCCCTGATTTCTTCATTTCCAAACTCAACTCGGCTAACTTCTCCATGATCATTCTCATCTGGGGATGTGATTTGTCACCTGCTAAAAGCATGTGGACTATGTTCTTTACTTCAATCCAACTGCAACCTGGATTCTTTCTCAAACCTAAATCTTCCATCCTTTTCCTCATTTTGTCCACTTCGTTAAACTTTTTATTATAAGCGTAAATATTGGACATGAGGATATAGTTTCCTGGATTTGTTGGTTCTAGTTTGAAAAGTTCATTAGCCGCAACCTCACCCAAATGCATGTTATGATGGGTTTTACAAGAACTCAACAATGCGCCCCAAACACAAGCATCTGGTTTGAAAGGCATTTTTGTAATAAGAGAGTGAGCTTCTTCAAGCCTTCCTGCACGGCCAAGAAGGCTCACCATACAAGCGTAATGCTCAGGTCGTGGTTCGATCCCATGATCCTTGGTCATGACATCAAAGTAATACTCGCCTTCCTCACTAAGCCCTGTTTGGCTACACGCAGACAAAACACTGGTAAAAGTGATTGCATCGGGTTTCACTCCCCCATTTTGTAACATCGAGTGTAAAACACCAAGCGCTTCATTGGCTTTTCCGTGCATCGCGTACCCGCCTAGTAGAGCATTCCAAGAAACTAGGTTCCGGGTCGGCATCTTGTCAAAGGTGAGACGGGACAAATCTACCCTTCCACAATTGGCATACATATCAACTAACGCACTCGCAACAAATACGTCATCAACAAAACCCCTCCGGAGGGAGAAGCTGTGTGCAGCTTTCCCGTGCATTAATGCCGCTATATTGCCACAAGCAGGAAGCAAACAAGGGATAGTCACCCGGTTCGGTTCGACCCCGGCCATTTGCATTTCTCTGAAGAGTTCAAGAGCTTCCATGTCTTTGCCATGTTGTGAGCAAGAAGCAATGATGGAAGTCCATGAGACAACGTTCAGTTCCATTTCTTCATCCCTACACTGTTTGAAAACCTTGATGGCATCATCAACATGGCCGGTCCGGGAAAGCCCGGAAACCATAGCATTGCAAGCACCCAAATCCTTTTTATCAGTTTCTTCAGACACACGCATAATCTCCGGTGCACAATTACATTTCCCGTACATGTCTATGAGAGAGCTTACTATACAAATATCTTGTTTCAGACCCAGCTTGATCACAAACGCGTGTATCTGAATGCCAATCTTTAAATCACCCAAGTCGCCAATGGCAGGAAGAACACTAGAAATGCTTGTTCCATCAGGAATAAAACCTCTCAGATGCATCTCGTGAAAGACTGAAACTGCTTCCAAGAAACACCCGCTCTGATTAAATCCTGCAATCAAACCGTTCCAGGATACCGAATTCGGCTGAATCCCAAAGTATTCCGTCCGGCCAAACACTTCCTTAGCATTTATCACGTCCCCTTCTTTCGCATAACCTGCTGCCAAGGCGCTCCAACTAACCACATCCGGGTCAGGCATTGTGTCAAACACCTTACGCGCATCTTTCAAGTGATTGCACTTCACATACATATGAACAAGGGCCGACTGGACAAAAGAATCCAAACCGAACCCAGACGTGAAAACATATCCATGGACTTGTCTCCCGACGTTCAGCGCGGATAGTCCGGCACAAGCCCTGATCGCGCTGGGGAGAACATAAGTATCAGGAGCGACCCGTTGAGCCAACAATCTTGAAAACGCGTTGAGAGTTTGATCAAAGAGACTGATCTTGGAGGAAGCATAGATGAGGGGAGCGAAAGAGAAGATGTCCGGTTCCGGGAGGGAGTCAAGGAGGAGATTGGCGTCTGAAAAGCTATGGTGGTGGGCGTAGAGGGAGAGGAGCTTGTTGACGAGATGGGTGTCGCCGGAAAGGCCGGTCTTGAGGATGCGGGCATGGGACTGTTGAGCTTGGATGAGAGTGGCAGCTCTGGTAAAGGGATTGTCATTGACCTGATGAGACCTTTGGAAGAATTGATTTTGCAGCGCTTTAGTTGGAGGATAACATGCCCGCATGATGTTTGTTCTCTTTCAGTTACTGAAAAAAGGCCATTTTGATCGAGAACAAAATTGACAAATTGAATTCTTGAATGTGCAACAAAAATAACAGGGTTTGCACATGAAATATGAGCGCGAGAGTATAATAGGAAAATCAGTATACTTTGTATTATTGTATACGATTATGAAATATGGAGTATATTTTTTACCTCGATTCATACTATGTATGTATTTATTTTGTGCAAGAATTAATGAATTATTTTATTTATATAAGTATAAATATAAAACAAAAATTACACATTCAATCAAATAATTATAAAAAATGAATATCCTAGTCCAATATAATACGTATGATAATAAAAAGATGATTACTCTATGGATGAATGTTTTTGTTTCAAATCGTATAATAATAATAAAAAAGATAATCACAAATAACCAATAATAATACGTATTTTGAATATAGTTTTTGATAATATTAACTATTTGATAATATCGGCGTTCCACCTCCCTCTTGAACCACCATCCTGGAGCGGCGGGTTGCTAGGGTTCAATAACATCACAATCATCATGAATGACTGTTAGGATTATTTTATTGTGTCCAATTGCATTAGTTATCTTTGTAATTGTATGTTTAATTTAGTTATAGGGTCATGTATTTATTTAGCCCATTTATTATTTATAATGTATTTATTTAATTAAAAAAGAAAAACAAAACAAAGTTGCACCTCCTTCATCCTCGGTCACCCTTCTTCTACCCTTCGGTGAAGCCTCACATCGGCCAAAAGCGGGTCCTTCGGCCGGTCAGAATCAGAGTCACTTCGGTCAAACAACGGACCCCCTGCAATAACGGGCAGGGCTCTAGCCCAGCCCAAAAATTTTCTTTTTAATTAGTATAGGTATAGCCCAAATATACGGCCCATCTCAAAATTAATCCCAGCCCACCCCAAGCCTAGTAGTTAGTACCAGAGTATTCCACTCAAGCAAACTTGCGGCCTCAGCTCCTTGTGTGAACTGGCGTAAGTTTGGAAGCAGAGGAACTGCGAAGGAGACACGAACACCAGCCGACCTGCGGCCACCAGCTGCGCCACCGCCCACCCTCCACGCTCCGGGGCCCTGCATCAGCCATCTTCCCTCTCCGGTTACCGAGTCCGACTCTGCCCTCCGCGGCTCTGCCTCCAGCTCCAGGTATACTCTAGCTTTTAGTACTCTTTTAAACCTTTTTTCTTGATTAAACATTGTATTATTTGCTAAACATTGTATTATTTTGTGAAACATCGTTAACCTACTTGAATACTTGATAAACGCAGAGGGCACACAACGATTGTGTTATTGTGGATGTTTTATTTGTTAAAAATTGTATTATTATGTGACTTTGTGCCATTGTGTACTTTGTATTATTATTTTTTAGTTTTGTAAAACTCTGTATTATTATTTGTAAATCTATATTAAATCATTATAAATTTATAATGATTAAAGATAGAATTAAATATAAGAGAATGTTTTATATACAATTGAATAGAGAATGATTTATTTAATGTGTGGACATCTAAGAACGAATTTAAAATTTTGATTGAATTTTAAAATTGGGAATACTTTAGTTTTGTGTACAAAAGTTATTTTTTTTCTTACAAATTTCAGATTTGAAATTTTAAAACGAGAGGAATTCAACAAATACTTTTCAAAAATATAATTTATACCCGTAGTAATACAAATAAAATATTGTCAAAGTAAAGTATCTAAATATTGTGAAATTCACCAATGTTGCAACTAAAAAAGAACAGAGGTAATATAATTTATTTCTATAATTTATAAGTGAACAATAGGCTCGAGTCCGAGTCGAACCAAACATCACTATGTTCGAACTTGATTTCAATAATTATTCATATCTAGTCCGTGTTCAAGTTCGAAGCTCGTTAAGCTCGGGTGATTACATTAGATTTAAAATCAAGCTCGAACTCGAGTATATAGTTCGAAAAAAGCTCGTTTTGGTAACATACTAATAGTCCTAAGCTAAACCTTGTATATGTAGTAACAAGTTTTTTTACTGCTTAGCCCACCCCACCTCTCATTCCTGGATCCACCCCTGTCCATCTCCAACTTTGGCCTGTGGAGATGCTGGTGCTATTCGAAACCCCGGCGGGATTTGCCCTTTTCAAGGTATTGAATGAAGGAAAGCTTTCGAAAGTTGAGGTATGTGCCTGTCTCTAATATTCTATGTAAATACGCTTGCATACGTCTTCGTTTGCTCTGCTGGATACTCAAATCACTGAGATGTTCTCTTCCAGGATTTATGGAAGGAGTTTTCAACTGCAGACTCCGCTCGCAAGGTCTCTTTTTGTTCTGCTTTTCAAAAGTCTTATCTTTTATCCCTTTAATTTGTTGATTTTGGTCTAATTACTTTGGATGGAAACAGGTTGTGAAGCTGAAAGCCTTCTCTAAGTTCGAAAACACCTCAGAAGCATTGTCGGCAGCTACTTTGTTGATAGACAGTAAGCCTAGCAAAGGCCTGCGCAAGTTCTTACGCTCTCATTGTGAAGGGGAAACTCTGGCGGTAGCCGATTCAAAGCTCGGAAATGCAATTAAGGAGAAACTGGTCTGTCAAGAATTCCTGTATAAATCTTAAAATATCATTTTTGCTTCTCTGAACCTAAGCAAATGCTTTGACTGCAGCAAATTGACTGTGTTCACAACAGCACAGTCATGGAATTGATGAGAGGATTGAGGAGTCAGTTAACCGAGCTCATAACTGGTCTAGGTGCTCAAGATTTGGCTCCAATGAGTTTGGGATTATCTCATAGTCTTTCAAGATACAAGCTAAAATTTAGCCCTGATAAGGTAAAATATCTTTATTATTATCCTCAAAGTAATTTTTCTTGTAATTTATGCCTTGAAATCAGCAAAATTGAAATCTGACTGTCTTACTGTATATGAGAAGCTAATTACCTCATACTAATGGAATATCCATATACTTCAATCATTAATGATGTTTTATTTCCAGGTGGACACAATGATCGTTCAGGCCATAAGCTTGTTGGATGATCTTGATAAAGAGCTAAACACTTATGCAATGAGAGTCCGAGAGTGGTATGGATGGCATTTCCCAGAGCTTGCAAAGATTGTTCAAGACAATATTCAGTATGCTAAAACAGTCAAGTTGATGGGTGACCGTACAAATGCTGCAAAGCTTGACTTTTCTGAGGTTCATACACCCCTTCAATTTACAGTTTCATATTCAGGAATCATATCAGCAGTGTGATTGTCTTTGTATCTGATGTCATGCTGTGTGCGCTAAATTTTGATATCAATGCAAAGGGGTTAGTTCTTTATATTATTTAGCACTTCGTATGTTTTTCCATGAACTATTTCTACCCTTCCAAAACACGATTCATGTTTGACCATATTACTCTATTTTATATGTTGGCAATGTAGATCTGTAATGAATCATGCATATCATTCATTGGTTGATTTAACTAATTTTTCAAATACAACTGGTTTGCGATTTTATTCAAATGTAGAAGATTGCATGACATTTAAACAAAATGATCTTTTTCTGAAAAAAGGTGTTTGAAAGTTAAAACAGGACATATTTTTGGAACTTCAGATGTATATGTTACTATGTTAGATAGATCATAGATGGTTTATGGAAAGCTGGCTCATCTTCCTTTTGCTAGTCTTAATTGATTTCAACTTGTTTCAAAGTTATCTTTATATTTTCCTTATTATCCATCCCAAAATTATTGCCTATTTCTTGTTAGGAAATGCAATACTTCTTATGTTTTTCACATAATTTCCCTCTTCTAGATAAATATCAACACAGTTTTCTTTTCCATAAATCTGATCAAAGTACTCATAATTTCATGGAAGGTGTTTGTTAAACTATGTACTTGAAATGACCATAGGTACTAGCTGAAGAGGTAGAGGCAGAACTGAAAGAGGCGGCAATGATTTCTATGGGAACTGAAGTCAGTGAACTTGATCTGGTCAACATTAAAGACCTATGCAATCAAGTCCTCGCTCTTTCAGAGTACAGAGCTCAGTTATATGATTATTTGAAGAGCAGGATGAACACCATTGCTCCGAATCTCACCGCGCTTGTTGGAGAACTTGTTGGGGCCCGACTCATTGCTCATGGCGGTAGCTTGTTGAATCTTGCAAAGCAACCTGGGAGCACTGTTCAGATTCTTGGTGCAGAAAAGGCTCTATTTAGGGCTCTAAAAACAAAGCATGCAACTCCTAAGTATGGGCTGATATACCATGCATCACTGATTGGTCAGGCAGCACCTAAACACAAGGGTAAAATTTCAAGGTCTCTTGCTGCCAAAACTGCATTAGCAATTAGGTATGATGCTCTTGGTGAAGGGCAAGACTGTTCTATGGGATTGGAGAACCGTGCAAAGGTACAATCAATATTTTGTATATTTTTCTGACCTGAATCTCTATCTCTGATACTCTATTTGAATGATGGCTAAGTCTATATCATGATAAATAGAGCTGTTTCTAAAAATGACTGATCCAGTGATTGAAATGTTCATGGTCAGCACATATGTTATATCTTTGAATTTTTATTATAAGATCACATACTCCAAATTGCTTTCATGTAAACAAGATAGAGATTTAATCCTCAAAATTGCCTTCTCTTCCATCACCCTCTATATTCTTATTCTAATATAATGATATAACTATATTTGATAGCTTGAAGCAAGGTTGAGAAATCTAGAAGGAAGAGATTTGAGTCGTTCAGCAGGATCTGCTAAAGGGAAGCCCAAGATAGAGTTCTATAATAAAGATCTTAAAAAAGGTTCTGGGGCGTTGATAACTCCTGCCAAGGTGCGGCCTGCAATTTTGCAGCCTTTTTTTCTTTCTTGTTTTCAGTTTTTTGGATTGGGACTACTTGTTAGGAGTACATTGTTTGATACAAGCTATTATTGACACAAGCTATTATTGATTTACATTTTTCTTCCTAGGTTTACAATCCTTCAACAGATTCTGTTCTGGGGCATGTTGACGTAGCTGAAAAGATGGATGCAGAAGCTGCTCAAGAAACACCTGCTAAAGAGGAGAAGAAGAAAAAGAAGAAAAAGGAAGATGGTTCAGCAGAACCTGAAACAGAAGATGCAAGAAAGAAAGAAAAGAAGAAGAAGAAAAAAGAGTTAGCAGAGGTTGAGCAGGTTGAGAATAAGGAGGGTGATAATTCTGGAGCTGGAGAGAAGAAAAAGAAGAAGAGAAAGCATGCGGAGGCTGATGAAGGAACCGAGTCAACCAAGAAAGATAAGAAGAAAAAGAAGAAGACTGTAGATTAAACTGTCATCTTGGTAACATGCGCAACATTTTGGGCAAGTTGTTTTCTACATTTCTATTGCATTTTGTGAACCTATGGCAGAAGTTGGTGATATATTTTTAATATATTTTTGTTATTAGATGTTATGAGATTAGTGTAGATGGAGGAGATGGTTGCCTTAGTTACTTGCATTAGACGTTTGTGTTAACTGTTTAGAGGACACCATCAGTGGATATTTCCCTTTTTTTTTGTGTTTTATTTTCTCGTTTTTGTTTTAATTCTCTTTTCAAGAGAAGTACTTTGCTAAGCAATCTTCTTTTATGGAAAATTTTGTTTGTATACGTTTTTGGCACTTTTTTTGTACATCTTCTGTTTTACTTGTGGACACAGGCACACAATCCTACTAAAAATTCAAAAGTTGTTTGTGTACACAAATCGTGTATACTAAGCAAATCTCTTTGTTTATTTGTCCCACTTTGCATTCCTCTATGCGTATTAAGGTTTATTGTTCTTGGGATTTTGATTTTGGATGTTTTTAGTGAAAATTTCTGGTTTGATTTGGGTTTGGTTTGAGATTGAATTAAGTTTAAGTAAAAACATCATTTGGTGCTTATAACATTGTCAATTTCATTTGGCACGTGGATTTATAAAGGTAAAATTGTGATTGTTTATATAGAGCCCAAAGAAAAAATAGAAATAACAAATTTAGAAATAATACTTCCGTCCCACTAACATTGGGACGTGAGGAGGTGACACAGTTCTTACAAAGAGTGGATTTATTTGATTGATATTAAATTGATAAAGTAAAATAAAGTAAGAATGATTTAGAGTCGTATAAATTACCACATTTGGTATCAGAAAAACTTAATGGGATGATGGAGTATATGAGTCCAGACCTCATGACCCACATACTCAGAAAGCTTGTCCTCCGTTGGCCAGAGCCTCCCTCGGCCAAATGGCCTCCATCGGTCGAACACACATCAATCCAGAATATGGTCCAGAAGTTAGGAGAACCAGTGTGCCTCCGTTGGCCAGAGCCTCCCTCGGCCAGATGGCCTCCATCGACCGAACACACATCAATCCAGAATATGGTCCAGAAGCCAGGAGAACTAGGGTGCCTCCGTCGGCCGGTGCCTCTGTCGGCCAGAAGGAACTCACAGAGCTAGACTTCTCATGTAATCAGCCTATTAGAGGCCCTTATATTGTAATGGGCCTCCCAAGCCCAAGACTTAGGAGTCCAGCCCATTTTTCCCTTTAAATACTCCCTATGGGAGCCATGTAGAGGGTTGAAAATTCTTTAATACATATCACTTTATCTCTCTAGATCTCCCTTCTCTCTAGGAGTTAATACTCCATCATTTGGTATTTTGGTGCTTTCATTGAGAGCTAGAATACATCAAGTGAGACCCTCCCAACCAATAACATAACATATGAACGGATAACATGGTACCACCTCGACCCTAGCTGGGGCAACATGCCCCCTCGACCTAGGAGCAAAGCGGCAAATGTGATATACTCATCTACCGCCCTCACCAAGTTACCACACGACATCTGGACAACCAATGGCCACCGAGACGCCTCAAGCTATCCTTGGGTCAAGAGTTGACCCCTCGGTCAAGATCAAAACACAATCCACACTTTCACCTTGCGACAAGGTGAAGCCTTAGTGGATCCCTCGTCCAGTGTACTCCTTGGTCAAGGACCAGGAACCATGACAACAACACCAACCAGTTGGACGGCAATAACACATCGTCCACTAAGTCATCGACTCAGACAGAGGACGGCAGTGCCTTCGGCCAAGGAAAGCTAGTGGGCACCCCTCGTCCACAACGGCTCCCTCTTCGGGCAAACCTGAACAGGAGGACAAATCTCCCCCTTCATCCAGGGGACAGGAGTGGCTCCACCCTCGGCCAGAGGACCCTCGCCCACCGCATCTTCCTCGGCCAAGGTCGAGTGGGAAACAAACAAGACCCTTCGTCCGACTGGAAAGCCGGCTCCACTCGGTCAAACATGAACAGATGGTAGGTCAGAGGCAGCACCCTTCGTCTTGGGAACACCACTGCCTCATCCACTTTGTAAGGAAAAGTGGGCTGGATTCCCAAGTCATGGGTTTAGGAGGCCCACTACAATATAAGGCCTCTATTGAGCTGATTACATTTGAATATATTAGCTAAGTGTGGAAGTCTGGCTCTGCGAGCTCCCTGTGGCCGACGAATGTCTGGCTGACGGAGGTGTGGCTGACGAAGGTCTGGACGACGGACGTCTGGCTGATGGAGGTGTGGCCGACGAAGGTCTGGCTGACGGAGATGTGGTCGACGAAGGTCTGGACGATGAACGTCTGGCCAACGAAGGTGTGGCAGACGAAGGTCTATCCGACGAACGTATGGATGAAGGAGACATGGCCGACGGGGGCGCCCTGGTTCTTCTGGCTTCTGGACCATATTCTGAGTTGATATCTTTCTGGCCAACTGAGGGCCCACTGGATGACAATTGTGCTCCTCTTAGTCTTCTGAGTATGTGGGTCATGGGGTCTGGACCCATATACTCTATCAGGAGTCCCCCACTCTTTGAGCTGAGATGTAGACGAAGGGAAAGGGAGTAGATCCTTGTTGTCTTGATGCTTTTGGCCTTCGGAGGATACCTGGGAGTTGTGGCGTTTCTGGCCGAGGTGGTGCCGTAACTGAGCCGTCAGGAACGTCATTCATTTCGAGGCCGAGGCGGTGCCTTAATTGTTGGCTGCCTTTTGTCCTTCATTTCGAGGACAACGAATGACCTTCATTTTGAGGATGATGAATGTCCTTCGTTTCAAGGACGATGCATGTCCTTCATTTCAAGGACGATGTGCGGTCTCAGTCGTGAGGGTGACATGACCTCTCTTTGGCCGTCGTGGGACCGCTGTGGCTATTCTTTGCGCTTTGGCCGTTGTGTGGCCACACTTGTTCTTCTTTGTTGAAGTTATAAGTGTTTCGTTCACTCAGCCGTTGTGGAGCCTTTGTTTCCATGTCGTAGACGATGTGTGCCCTTCTGCTTTGAGGACGATGAGTGTGGCTCCTGAGGACGTCACACGTGCTTTGGGCGATGTGGTGTCCTCCTATATTGGCCGGAGATGGGACACGTAGGCTGAAGGCGTACTGTGTTTGTGCTTTGAAGAGCCCGATCGATACCTCAAGACGCTCGACGCTAGGAAAACATGCCTTGAGATATGGGATCACGCTAAGGCTGCTAGGAAAACCTTTTGTGATCTGAGGACGTACGACGATGAGAAGCCAGTCCTATAATGTGATGACGAGGCGATGTTGAAGCCGATCATCATGTAAGCTCAAGACTCTCGGTGCTGAAGGAAGCCGGTCTTGAGATAGATGATCACGCTGAGGCCGAGAAGCCTTTCGTGATCCAAGGACGTATGGTGTTGATGAGCCGGTCCAAATAAATGATGACGAGGCGCTGTTGAAGCCGATCATCATGTAAGCTCAAGACTCTCGGTGCTGAAGGAAGCCAGTCTTGAGATAGATGATCATGTTGAGGCCGAGGGACCATTCATGATCCAAGGGCGTATGGCGTTGATGTGCCGGTACAAATAAATGATGATGAGGCGCTGTTGAAGCCGACCGTCATTGATGGAGTATTAACTCCTAGAGAGAAGGGAGAGCTAGAGAGATAAAGTGATATATATAATGAATTTCCAACCCTTTACATGACTCCCTTAGGGAGTATTTATAGGAGAAAAGCGGGCTGGGCTTCCAGGCTTGGGCCTGGAAGGCCCATTTACAATAAAAGGCCAATAAATGGCTAACAAATGGTATTTAATCTATTCTAACGGGTATACATGAATAAAATGGAGTGTACAACGAAATAAATGCTATCTACTGAGCATATGTGGGCCGCTGTCCGGGTCCAATAGTCGTGAGACCCGGGGTCCGAGTCTATATACTCTATCAGGAGTCCCCCACTCTCTGAGTCGAGAGTATTCGAGGCGAAAGAGAGTAGAACTGTGTGCTGATCTTTCGTCGTCTGGTGAGTAAACTTCGTAATCAAAAATTTGAATTTCTGCTTCTTTGGTTAACGGGGGCGCTAAGTTCCCCGCTCTTCCAGTCCCCCACTCCTTGAGGCGAGTGTAATGAGGTGAAGAGGAGTAGAGTAATGCGTGTCGGATGATGTCTTCAACAGGGGGCCGAGGGTTGACACCTTTTGATCCACGATGGGGAGATGCCTCGTTAAAAACGTCATTAGGAAAAACCATGTGGGAAAAAATCCTAATGAGGGAAAAAGAGTACACCGGATGCCCCCAAAATGAAACAAAAGGTGCGAACCCTTCGGCCTGGAGATGGAGCTGCAACGGTGCCCGTCTGCTGGGGCGATGGTTGAGGCCGATCTCTAGATGTGGGTAGCTCATCATGATCAGTAGTCCTAGTCATCAAATAAAGATGACTAAGGGATGGGTCGAGCGACCGTCCACAATATGATGTCTGGTTCATCAAATAAAGATGACCATAACGTAAGGCCAATGGGCCGAGAGGCCTGTACGAGAGCTCCATCTTGTCGAATAAGGACGACGAGGCGATGTATGGCCGAGGGGCCTGCATAAGAGCTCCACGTCGTCAAATAAAGACGACGGGGCGATGGTGCAGCCGAGGGGCCTGCATAAGAGCTCCACGTCGTCAAATAAAGATGACGGGGCGATGGTGCGGCTGAGGGGCCTGCATAAGAGCTCCACGTCGTCAAATAAAGACGACGGGGTGATGGTGCGGCCGAGGGGCCTGCATAAGAGCTCCACGTCGTCAAATAAAGACGATGGGGCGATGGTGCGGCCGAGGGGCCTGCATAAGAGCTCCACGTCGTCAAATAAAGACGACAGGGCGATGTATGGCCGAGAGGCCTACATGAGAGCCCCACATCATCAAATAAAGATGACGGGGTGATGGTGCGGCCGAGGGGCCTGCATAAGAGCTCCAGGTCATCAAATAAAGATGACGGAGCGAGATATGGCCGATGGGCCTGTAAATGAGCTTCGCGTCATCAAATAAAGATGACGAGGCGATATATGCCCGATGGGCCTGCAACTGAGCTTCGCGTCATCCAATAAAGATGACGGAGCAAGGTGTGGCTCAGAAGCCCACAAATGAGTTCCTCGTCATCAAATAAAGATGACAGAACGATATATGGCCGATGGTCCCGTAGATGAGCTCTTCGTCATTAAATAAAGATGACAGAGCGATATATGGCCGATGGGCCTACAAATGAGCTCATCATCATCAAATAAAGATGACAGAGCGATATATGGCCGATGGCCCTGCAAATGAGCTTCGCGTCATCAAATACAGATGACGGAGCGATATATGGC